GGCTCGAACATCCACTCCTCGATGTCTTGCTTGGGACTCTCCTTCTCCGAGGTAGACCCTGGCTCCGGGAACAATCCCTTGTCAAACAGACTCTCACGTAATCCGCTCCCCCGACGGGAGTACACCTCACGGGTGCCCTGGGTGTTGTACATAGTCCAATCATCCTGCTGGTGAGTCTTCCGCGGACCCCATTGCGAAGGGGTCGGAGGCGGCCAAGACAGATGTGCAGGCAGGCGGGGAATCGTTCCCCCCACGGCACCCTCCATCGAGGCTGCAGTCGTGAACACCAAAGACGCGGAGGTTTGTGGGACCGATCCCGAGTCCCCCTCCGTGTTAGGTAGGTTTCCCTCAATTCCGCTCATGATCTTGCCAGATTCGGAACGATAGGAGAAAGGGAGTTCTAACAATATGTTGGATCCCCAAGCATCGAGAATAAATCCACGTTTTCAAGAAAAGCAAAATTTATTTCAAAGCGTTGAAGACATACTCAAACACGTTCTTTGTTAGAACTGGGGATACACAGTTAGGGCGAGCATAATAAAGGAAATTCAAACAGATACATATCCAATGAATAATATTCCCGCTGGCGGGCTAATGAAACGGTTGCGCGCCCAGTCCATGGGAACCAGGCAGAACATCAGACAAAACACAGGTGCAGTTCTCATGAGATAGCAATAGGCAAGCATTACAGCATCTTCTCCCACACACATCCACCGGTAGTTATCTTATGCATTCCAGCACAGAAGCAGGATAGTAAAAACAAGCCGGGTGCAACAGGGTAAGGATATATACACAGAGGTCAGAGAAAACAGAATGGCAGCTTGCTGACAATTACTTAAACTGGAAACTTTTCCCATTCAGAATTTCTCAAAAAAGTCACACTTGGCTACTGCAAAATGTGGCTGCTTGGTTTTTGCAAGGCTAGACCACTTTGATCATATAACTGCTGAGGCTGGACTGGTTCCCAAGTGCAATTCAAGGTGCTGCTTCTTGGCTTTAAAAACCCTTTAATGATATGGGGCCTGGATATCTGAAGGTCTTCTAATCCAGTATGAACCCATGTGCCAATAATACTTGTCTCATCGAAATCTGCTGTTTCTTCAGTAAAAATGGTGCAGAGGGTGGCTACTGCTATCTGAGGTACACATGAGCTATTCCTTTCAGGCTCTTAGAAGGACAGTCAAAATGACATTACTTTGGCAGGCTTTTTCTTAAAGTGATGGTGTGTAAGAGTTTGGTTTCTGATTCTCCTTTGGGTATTGATTCTGACTCTGCTTGGCTTTTGAATTTGTATTTTGTTGGGGCTGAGCAGTTACTGAATTTTCTGTTTGTATGATGATGGATTTCATTGTGTTTTATAGTTATGATTTGAGCTGCCTTGGGCTTTTTTAAAGAAACATGAAATAAGTTTTGAAGTATCTTTTGTATTTGCCACAATAATATGCTCTGCTCATGAGATAAGCTATCTTGGGGAATTCTGCTTTGCTGTCTATATGGGCTTTGGCTGATACTCCTTGGCCAAAAAAAGAAAGAAAAAGAAAACCTACATTAATAATTAGCTGTTAAATTGAAGATTTGGTGCTATGTAGAATTAGGTAGAGTTGCATTTGGTATACTTTTAATACTTTAGCAGTGTTGTGTGGAGACTGAATAAGCTGAGAGGTAGCTGCTTAGTAGGCCTTTTGTGTGTCATTTTAACCCGGCTAATTCTATTTTTATTACACTACTAGGAAGAAGGCCCGTTGTAGAGGGAAGACAACGAGCTCAGGAAGGAAGGAAGGAAGGAAGGAAGGAAGGAAGGAAGGAAGGAAGGAAGGAAGTAGAGAGAGAGAGAAAGGAAGAAAGAAAGAGGGAGTGAGGGAAAGATGAGGAAAGAGGGAGGGAAAAAATTGAAAGGGATGGGTTGGAAGGAAGGGAGAAAGAGGGAGGGAGGAAGAGAAAGAAGGGGGAAGGAGGGAGGGTAAGAATGCATAATGGGGAGGAGGGAAGTCGGGGAGGAATGCAAAGAGATAGGGATGAAGGAAGGGTAAAAGAAGAAGGGGGAGGGAGGGTCAGACAGCAAAGGAAAGAGGGAGAGAGAGAAGAGGTCAGTGGAAGAGACAGAGGGAGGGAGGGTGAGGGAAGGGGGGGAAAGAGAGAGAAGAGGAAGAGGTGCATGGAAGAGACAGAGGGAGGGAGGGTGAGGGAAGGGGGGCTGTTCAGCTGTTACCTGGCAAGAATGCAGCTGTGAGTTGGCCTCCTCATAGCCGGGCGTGGCAGCAGGCGAGAGGGGGCCTGAGTAGGCCTCCGGCCGGCATTCACCACAACGTTGGAAGGGGGAAGGGTGGGCCGGAGGGCCGTGTGCGGCTGGGCACTGCAGCAGGCGGGGAGGAGCTGAGCAGGCTTTCCCCCTCCCTGCCATGGTGGTTGAGGGGGGAAAGGTGGGCCGGGGTGGCTGGAGGCCTGTGTAGAACAAGCTTTATGGCTGGGCTGGGAAATATATTGGAGGTGGAATGGATTTTTGCACAGAAGTCTATTGCTCATGAGCAGTGTCTTTCTCTTGTTCCTTATAGCTTATTCATGTTCCTGATTGTCCTCTGCCAGCTGTTGTGAAGATCTCCCCCTTCAAATCTTTACGGTGTTTAGAGGTGAGTCCTCTGAAGTTCATGGTGGCTTGCCCATTCATAGTAGTGGTTGTGGGGTGATCTCGCCCTTTCCCCTCCCTCACACACAGGATTTTCCCTATTCTTCTTTCATGCTGAGCAGCCCTGTTCTTCTTATCTGTTTATTTATGGCTGTCCCACTCTGTCACTTTATTATATAGTTTGATGCTGGCAAAGCCCAGGGACTTGAGGGAAGAAACAAAATCACCTTCTTATTTTCTGTTTCTGAAATGGCGCATGGGAGGCTTTGGGAAGTTTAAAATAAAATGTTTTATTTAACTTAGAAATCAGGTGGAATTGGGTAGGATGTATGAGGTGAGCAGATGATAAAACCCGAGGTAACTTTGTAATCACACTAACTCCAGATAATTTATTGCCCACAAGTAAGTGTTTCTGCTATCCAACAAAGTCTATAAAACTTTGATGAGAGAGGCTTTCTCTTCTGTTTCTGCTTTAACACTCAAGCATAGGTTTCTGAGTTTCACTGACACTTCAAATTTAGGCAGGAACAAACAAAGCAGTTCCGAAAATCCTTCTTCCTACACAGACCAGGGATCACTCCTCTTTCAAGAGCTATCTCCATTTTCACTCGCAAAGGATTTGTCAGGTTCCACAGCCAACAACTGAGTACACGCTTGTCAGAAAGGTTATACTTTATTGCAGAGCTATAGATGCAGTAACATGTTCACTGTTAAGAATGGCGACGTTTCTACAAGCACAATGGGATATAGGGGATTCGTATGCACCCCCCCCCCCCATCCAACAGCCCACTGGCCTGACCCCGCATGCGGGAGAAGGGGCCCCAGGCTGTTAGAACTGAAGCTGGGAATTGAAAGCTATCCCACGGTTACATGATGCCCAGACACTACACAGGCAATCTACAAGGTCAGTTATAATGAAGTACTACAGAAGCAAAGAAGGAATGCAGCAGCGGCTGGCACTGTAAAGAGAATGTTTTCTTACTTGCTGACTGCTTGTTTAATTCATAGTTTAGGCTCTCATAAATTGTGCATATTGCTTTAACCTCGCAGGTCATGTTTAAGTGTAAGTGTAGGAGCTGCGGTGGCTCAACTGGTTAAGACGCTGAACTGCAGGCTGTGGAAGGTCGGTAGTTCAGCAGTTCGAGACCCGAGTGTGCCGCATGACGGAGTGAGCTCCCGTCTCTAGTTCCAGCTCCTGCCAACCTAGCAGTTCGAAAGCAAGAAATTGCAGGTAGATAAATAGGGACCACTTCGGTGGGAAGGGAACAGCGTTCCGTGCGCCTTGGTGTGGCCACATGACCACAGAAATGTCTTCGGACAGCGCTGGCTCTTCGGCTTTGAAACGGAGATGGGCCCCGCAACCCTAGAGTCAGACTCGACTGGCTCTCAAGCAAGGGAACCTTTACCGTTACCTTTAAGTGTTTTCAGGACCTAGGAGTTCATGTCTGGATTTAAGGCCTGCAATAAAACCGCCCTCTTTGACAAGCGAGTGAACCTTCTGCCCAGATACAGAGATAACTCTGCAAGCCCTTAGTGACCTTGCAGAATTGTTTTCAGCTATAAGCGATGAGTGTTCTGCTGATTGACCATCAAGGCATTCCAGCCAATTAACTTTGTACCACCTGGATGTGGGAGGTTGGAGGAGAATATTTTTCCATGTCCTAAGCATTCTGGGAAAGAGGCCTAATGGCTGCTGGGATAGAGTGCATATGATGGGATGTAATTGGCATGGCAACCACTTAAGTTGACATCACTGCTCTGAATTATGATTGGATATTGTCTTAACCCCAGGAGGGGTCAGTTTCCTATAAGAATAGCTGTATTTCAATAATGGCTAGCTGGTCTGTATGACTGAGCCTATCTCTGGTCCAGTTGTCCGAACCTGCAATCATGCTTCTGACTCTTGGAACCTGATGGACTGTGTTGGCCATGCTTGCTGATCCCCTGTGGAAAGGTAATATGCTTGCTTCAGAGTTTAGTCAGGCTAGATAAGCTTAGATCTTTTTATTTTGTAATCCTTCACTAGCCTTGTTTTGTTCTTATGTGTTATGTGCACCCAATAAACTAAAATATATTTTATTTGAACCTTTGGTCAAAGTCTTTTGTGTTAACAGGTCTCAAAGGCTAAATCTTGTGGCCTAGCCCTCGTCTAGCTACTACCAAGAAAACTCTTGTCTTGTTTTGATTTTTTGACCTGCAGCCTTACAACCTGCAGTGCTGTTTTGCTTTGGGAGTTCCAGTACAACCAGACGGGAGACTTAGGTCCCTTTGTCTCCTGGCTGTTGGGAACTGCCTGAAAGGGACCTGGTGGCAGACTACCCTTGCGGTTGTGGGGTTTTTTTTGTTTTTTTTTTGTTCTGGTTGCCCTCTTAGTGAGAGTAACAGAGAGGACCATTCTCCCTCTCACTTTTGAATTTTGTTTTGGGAAACCGTGGTGAAGGTGGGAAAAGCCTTTACAGGTACACAGGTCAAAATGAACCCCAGCCCATAAACATCATGGCAGCATAGCTGACAGGTTTAATTCTCTTAACTAGAAGCAATTTCCCTTTTCGACTTGAATGGGGATCCTCACTGATCCTATCACTCCTTCTTTGCTTCCTTCCCAGTCCTCAGTCAGTGACTGTCAGTTCCCAACTGGCATTTCTTAACTGACACTCTCCACAGAATCTGTTTGAACAGCTGGTCACTCAAAGGTTCTCAGACTCTTTGAGGCATTAACCCTTAACAGTCCGTCACGTGAATATAGAACAGTTGATGAGAATGCAGAAGAAATTCTACAGTTAAAAGTTTCTCATAATGGATAACCAATTTTATTTTCTTGACCTGCAAATTAAAATGAACTTTTTATTCTAGTATAAATTGGGGGAGGGGAGAACTGGTTTTTCTAATTCCAAGAAGGATTCTGGGGAATCCTGGCCCCACTGCTGGACCTCCGGATGGCACCTGGTATTTTTGGCCACTGTGTGACACAGAGTGTTGGACTGGATGGGCCACTGGGCTGATCCCACATTGCCTTCTCTTATGTTCTTAATCTTAATATATGTGTGTGTGTGTGCGTGTGTGTGTGTGCGCGCACCTGGAAGTCATGGCAACTTCTGGTGACTGACCCCTACTTGGGGGCCTGGAGGATATTCAGAGAGGTGGCTGAATAAAGCCTGCCCTGCCTCCCACCTCTGGTATGTCAAGGAGGTCTCCTATCCAAGTACTTGCCAGTGCTTGCCTTGCTTAGCTTCTGAGCTCTGATGAGATTGGGCTTGCCTGGGCTATCTAGGTCAGGGCGGGAATCCACACTGTTGAAAGGTAGTAGGAGGGAGGTGAGCGAAAATAAAGGAAGAAAAATAGAGGGGCAGCTGCTTCTGGTTGGTGTGAGATTCTAGAGTGTGTATCCTTGTCTGTAGAAACGTTCTAGAGCTCCTGTGTGAACATTCTAAGTTATCCTTTCTCTCTTTTCCCTTCCTTGGCTCAGTTGAAGTGTGTCCCTCTGCACACTTTGAGAGGACTACGATTTATCTATTCCCAATTGGAGGCTTTGACCTGTTCCAAGTGTGTGAACTCATTGCAGGTGAGTGGGGACAGACAGTATTTTATCTTTCTGCCTTAGAGGAGGAATGGTAGGTTCTAGCATTGTGTCCTAGAGAAACTATCATTGTCTCAGTTCTGCCAGGACTGAGAAACAGCCCTTTATGTTCAACTAGGAAAAAGGCCCGTTGTGGAAATAAATACAACGGCATCTAGAAAGAGGCTCTGGACGGGTGCCCCGGCCTCGGACACTCAGTGTCAATTTGCTGTGGCGACCTCAGCAGGGTTATAATGACACTGAGTCCACCATTTTCTCCAGAGGAACTGATCTCTGCTACCTAAAGAACAGTTGTAATGTTGAGTGATTCTCAGCCCTCACCTGGAGATTGGCAACGATGGTTCCCCAGAAGGGAATGGTTGGTTTGGAGGGTGGAGTCTGTGGCTTTGTACCTGTTTGAGGTCCCACGCCTCCTGAAACATTATCCTCTCCAGGCTCCATCCCACACATCTCCAGGAATTTCCCACCTGGAGTTGGCAACCCTATCTCCTTCCCAGCCAATCATCAACCTACCTTTATTTCCCCCTCACTCTTCAGCTTTCCACCCCCCACACACCTGCAGCCTCTCTCATGCTCCGAAGCCCTGACTGCTGCGTCACATTGGCTGTCATACGGGGGCTACCTCAGCAGCATATAAGGATACAGAGCCCACCATTTTCTCCAGGGGAACTGATCTCTGCCATCTGGAAAGCAGTTGTAATTCTGAGTGATCTCCAGCCCTCACCTGGAGATTGGACACATTTTACCTCAGAATAGCAAACTGTTTAGAATGTTCCGAGGCAAAAGCCAATCAAGTTGCATATGCAAACGACCTCTGTGTTCCGAGGCAAAGGCCAATGAGGCTGCATATGCAAATAACCTCTGTGTTCTGACTGGCTATGGGGGGGAGAGGAATGTTGGAGGCAGGCCTCAGGCAAAGCAGCCAGTAGATAGGGAGACCCTCTGAATGACAGATCAGAGAGCCAACTGATTTTGGAGCGTGTGGAATGTTTTAGAGAAGTGCCACCACCATTCGGCTTTTATTTATAAGGGAGATGAGATCAAATCTGTTGCTTGACAGTCTTGTCATCCAAGATACGTTATTTTTTAAGAGTTGTTTGATCCAAGAATTCCTTTTTTCCTGCAAAACTATTTGCAGGCTATAGAATCTTTAGAAACCCCCTTCTGCCAATTTATTTTCTCATCAGAGCAGTACCTGCCATCACTAGGAGTTAAGGAGGTGGCCAGATTGCTCAGATGTTATGCTGTAATCTACGCCTGCAAGTAAATTAAATATTTAAATATTTAAATAAATAAATAAATTACAGTGCACACAGGGTTTTTTAGGATCCTGGTTGGATAAAGGCAAAACCACACTTAATAAACCACTGCACTGTGTAAAACGTATGAAGTACAATAGCACAGAGTGGTAGTTACAATAAAAAAATTGAGTAAATTGCATACATGTATCCACCATCATAAATATCAAGAATTAATAGATACTAAGTGACTAGCTATTCATTTAAATGACTGAGTAACGTTGGGCTTTCTCATGCATGGCAGTGGTACGCACAATCATGCCTTGCTCTATTTCTCCAGCACTGAAGAGCATAACTGCAGGTATTCCTGGTACCAAAGGAGATTTAATTACAGGCTTTCTCCAAACTTTCTTGCTTCTTGACATCTGTCTCAGTGGATTAAATGGTTCAGTTTTAAAGAAAAATATCTCTACTACTGACAGTAAATGTCACAAGAATAGTTGCACCATATTCTGGAGACAAGATCTTTTGTATATTGACAAGTTAAACTGGATTTTGCCATTTTAACACTTTGCTGATTTTTCTTATTCCATCCAGCAGTGCAGTTTCTCTTAATACGTATTTTGTAATTTTATGTTTTCCATTCCCCGGCAAATTATATAGGGTGCTTAATAAATTAATATTTCCCTATTTAATAAATTAATCTCTCCCTTTTCTCTGAAACATATGCCCCTTTAGAGCACAGAAACATTTCCATCTTGGTCTCTTTCTCAGGTGCAGTCTCTGAGGCTCTAGTTTCTAAGCCTAACGATTTGGCAGCTCAGTAGAATATTGGGGTTCACTCTTAGCCATTGAATATAGAATGTGAACATATTACTTTGTTTAAAGTTAAGGTAGAGCAAGGAAGGTCTTGTGTATTTTGCCCCTCAACCTGGTCCTTGTGCTTGGTCAGCCGGTCACCACGGATACCATGCACTGGAAACTGGATACGCAGTCCAAAATCAAGTCAAGCAACATAGCTGAAGGTCAGAAAGCTGAGAAAACAGTCGAAGAGTGCTGGAGCTAGAAGCAAGGAGTGGATGCTAACAGCCAGGATCAGGTCCGAGCATGCATGGTTGCTTCCGCGCTGAGGCAGGTGCATAGGGGTGTTTATAACTAGGTCCTCCCTTCCCTGGGAGGCAACCTGCAAAGACTCACAGCCCCTCACGTTGCCTTTGCAAGAGCTGCAGTCTGGCACTCCTCCTTCACTCTTGCACCTCCAGCTGCCAGCGTGCCCTGCGTCTGGGACACTCAGGAGAACAAGGTGGGGACTCTGGCCTCAGGGTGTCGCCACCGGGGGGTGCTGGGCCAGGCTCTGGATCCGGCTCTCCCTCTGGCTGCCCCTCCTGTGCAGCTGCTGGGGCCTCTTCTCCCTCAGGGGCTGTTGAGGGTTCCTCTTCTGGGCTGACTCCAGAGGAGGCTGGGTTGCTCCATGCCTCTTCCTCATCTGAGGAGGAGTCAGCCTCAGCAGAGCCGGGACCCATGACAGTCCTTTTGTGGGTGGTCAAACCACAAAATAATAAGGACCTCATGTAATGCAACTTATGTGTTCTGGTATGGTCAGGGCTGCGGTGGCTCAAGTGGTTAAGATGCTGAACTGCAGGCTGTGGAAGGTCAGTAGTTCAGCAGTTCGAGACCCGGGTGCCGCATGATGGAGTGAGCTCCCATCTCTAGTTCTAGCTCCTGCCAACCTAGCAGTTTGAAAGCAAGAAATTTATTTATTTATTTATTATTCACATTTTTATCCCGCCCTCCCCGGAGGCTCAGGGTGGCTAATTGCAAGTAGATAAATAGGTACCACTTTGGTGGGAAGGTAACAGCGTTCCATGCGCCTTGGCGTCTAGTCATGCCGGGCACATGACCACGGAAACGGCTTCGGACAGCGCTGGCTCTTCGGCTGGGAAACAGAGATGAGCACCGCAACCCAAGAGTCGGATTCGACTGGCTTTCGAGCAAGGGAACCTTTACCTTTACGGTCAGGGCATTCCATGGGAAACTTAGAACACTGTCAACAAGTAATTGTTTTCTTAAGATGCTTGTGTAGCCTGTGCACTTATACAATCGTTTATTGTAACTAATATTCTTTACATTATACTGCCTGTGTGGAAAGGAGATCTTGCTCTTTAAAAGCAATCCAGGAGGCTGATAAGGTAGACTGTATTAATCCTAACATGGGGTATTTAACTGACTTTACAGGTACAGGAAGACAGTTTGAGAGGCTGTTTGATATAAAGTGTGTCTGTCCTGAGGTATAAAGCTAGAGGTGGATCAGCCAGTCTTTAATTACAAGTTTACACTCTCAAGCTAGTAGTAGTTTACCAAAGATAGTTATACGTTTTCTGAAATGTGTATGTATTTTTTAATGTATTTTTTCTACTTCTGGTAGAGAGAGGGAAGTAGGAGGGGAGGTTTGGGTGGGAGGGAGAAGGATTTGTAGTTAGGGTTTCTGCCAACTAAATTTAACTACTTATTGGATTTAAACCTGGTTGGGGGTTTTGTATTATAGATGCCATCTGGGTTGGATGTATAGCTGATAAAAATATTGCTTGTGATGTTCTATTGCCATTGTTACCTCCAGGTACTTGGTGGGACTACGTCTGGCTTAATAAGATCTGGAGGGGGGAGGCCAGGGGAGGGCCAGGGATCCCAGTAATAATGGGGCAGGGGAAGTTTGGCGGTGGGAGAAGCTAACTTAGACGAAGGAGTCTGAGATATAGAAGTGCTCGGCCTTCTTCCTGTCTTCATCCCATCTCGAAAGATGCTGGCTGTGGGGATAGGAAATCTTACCCGTCTCTGACACGGGTGTTGTTTAATGCCAGGTCTATTAATAATAAGATCACCATCCTCCAGAATTATCTGGTGGAGCAGGCAGAAGACCTGGCTTGTGTGACGGAGACCTGGGTAAGAGAGAGCGAAACAGTTGCTTTGAATCAGCTGCCCCCCCCCCCCCCCCCCTCCTTTGCTCCCTCCCCCTCCCTCAACAAGGGGGAGGAGTGGCGTTGCTAATTCAGGAGGCTTTCTCCTTCAGAGAGCTCCCTAGGCCAAAGATTGCCGGGACTGAATGTGTTGATCTGGTGTGGGATGCCAAGGAGAGTTTGGCCATTTGGCTGGTGTACTGTCTGCCCAGCGCAGCCATTTGGCTGGTGTACCGTCTGCTGGGTCTGTTGGAGGCGGTATCGGGCTGGGCATTGGAGTATCCCAGGCTTTTAGTTCTGGGTGATTTCAACATCCATGCTGATGATGTGACCTCCTTGCAAGCCATGAACCTAGTGTCCTCAATGGCGGCACTGGGACTCACCCAGTTTGTTTCAGCTCCCACACACCAAGCAGGCCACATGTTGGATCTTGCCTCAGGGATTATGCGTGATTGGATAACTCCTGATGCAGTTCCATGGTCAGATCACCTTGCTCTGAAGGCCTGGTTAAATACTCCTAACCCTGCCTGTTTAGGTGGTGAGCGGATTTATGCTCGCCTGCGGAGTCGAATGGAACCCATTATGTTCCAGGAAGCTCTGCAGGATCCGATTCCCCCGGTGGCTCATTGGATGAGCAAGTGGAGGACTCGCAAAGCTGTCTCTCTGAAGCCATTGATAAGATTGCTCCCCGGCACCATCTTCACCAAATTAGCTCCATGGTATACCTCAGAGCTGAGGCGGATGAGGCGGGAGCTAAGATGGCTAGAGAGAAGGTGTGGGTGAGCCTGTGACAGAGCCACAAGAACATCTTATAGGTTGTTTATGAGAACCTACGAGGTGGCAGTGAAGGCTGCTAAGAAGAATTTCTATGCAGCCTCTATTGAGTCTGCAAGCTTGCACCTGGTACAATGACTTAGAATAATTTGGTCCTTGACATCTTTGCCTCAGATCATTCCAAGAGATGGGGAATTGCAAATAGGCTATGAGGCAATTGTGAGCCATCTTGCAGATAAAATGATCCCCCAGCTACACTTGATACAGTAAGAGAACTGGAAGCCCCTTGTCCGTCTTCGGGTCCAGTCTTGGACCACTTCAGTCTGCTCACCCAGGATGAAGTTGACAAGACCTTGGCAGCAGTGAAGCCTGCCACTTGTTCTCTTGATCCCTGGCCTTCGTGGCTAATTAAATCTTGCAGCGATGTGGGGGGACCTCCCTGAGGGAGACAGTCAACTTGTCCCTTTCAACAGGGACTTTCCCAGGGAGTTTGAAAGAGGCAATAGTTTGCCCCCTCCTTTAAAAAATCATTTTTGGACCCAATGGTCCTCAGTAACTACCGCCCGGTATCTAATTTTTCTGGTCAAGGTAGTGGAGAGGGCGGTGGCAACACAGCTCAAGGCATTCTTGGAGGATGTTAATATCCTGGATCCTTTCCAGTCTGGTTTTTGTCCTGCCCATGGAACAGGGTTCATGTTGGTTGCATTGGTAGATGATCTCCAGAGATATCTGGACTGAGGTGGATCGGGGCTGCTGATTCTCCTTGATCTGTCAGCAGCGTTAGATACGGTCGACCATGAGTTGTTGACCCACCGCCTCACTGATGTGGGGATACAGGGACTAGCCTTACAGTGGTTGGCCTCCTTTCTCCAAGGGCAAGGACAGAGAGTGTCGCTTGAGGGGGAGTTGTCTCGGTGACACCCACTTGAATGTGGGGTGCCGCAGGGCAGGATTCTCTCCCCAGTACTATTCAATATCTATATGCACCCCATTGCCCAGTTTATTTGGAGATGTGGGCTGGGCTGTCACCAGTATGCTGATGACACCCAGCTCTACTTGCCAATGGATGGCCGCCGACTCTGCCCCCAAACATCTGGACAGATCATTACAGGCTGTGGCTGGTTGGTTACAGCAGGGCAGACTGAAATTGAATCCATCGAAGACGGAGGTCCTGCACCTGGGCTGTGGGGGCCGGGGTTAGGCATTGGGCTCCCAGTCTTTGGCGGGGCCCAGTTGGTGCTGGCACCAAAGGTAAAGAACCTGGGAGTGTTCCTGGGTGCCTCATTGTCAGTGGAGGCCCAGGTCACTGCCACAGCCAGATCAGCCTTTTTCCATCTGAGGCGGGTCAGGTAGTTGGCCCCATATCTCGCCTCTCGTGACCTGGCTGCAGTAATCCATGCAATGGTCACTTCCAGGTTAGATTAATGTAATTCTCTCTACGTGGGGCTGCCGTTTACTCTGCTCCAGAAATTGCAGCTGGTGCAGAATGCAGCAGCATGAGTACTGATGTCACTACCTGTGCGGGCACACATCTGCCCGGTGCTGCGCAAACTGCACTGGTTGCCTATTGAATACCGGATCCATTTCAAGGCGCTGGTTCTTACCTTTAAAGCCCTATATGGCCAGGGGCATGCATATCTTTGAGACTGCCTCTCCTCATATGAGCCCCGGAGGGCATTGCGCTATTCGAGTCAACATCTGCTGATGGTCCCTGGCCCTAGGGATATCTGACTTGCCTCAACTAGGGCCAGACTCAGTTTAAATATCTGGAAATCCACTTTGAAGCATTTCTTACATGGAAAACACACTTGGCTCTAGCAAGGAACACAGCCTTGAGAGTAGGGAGGACAATTGTAAAATACTTCTACTCATCAGGAGGCGAATTTGTCCCCTTGGCCTTCAAGGTACTTAATGCTAACCAATTCCTGTATGGTGCAGAAATTTGGATTCAGGTGGCTTCTGAAAAAATGGATTCCATCCAGTATGACTTTTTCCGCCACTTATTGACTACTACTAGATGTGTCTCAGGCATAGCGCTGAGAGCAGAACTAGACGAATTATCGATGGAAGCTAGGGCTTGAATTAAGGCATTTCTCTTTAAAGGTTTTAAAATATGAGGGAGAATCTACTCTACTTGGGCTTATCCAGGCAGATAAATATTACAGGTAATGGGATCAACTATTGGAAAAGAAGACGAAATACCTAGGAATAACAAATGATATGATTAAAAATACAGAAACTAAAGATATTATAAGACAAATTAAAAAATCTGTAAGGAAATTGGATGTTACAAGTACATCTATTAGGGTGCGCTGGGTACGTCTGACACTCCATTTGGGAATTGCCCTCCCGATGCAATAGCCGAAATATTTTTATCAGTTGACAGTCCCAAAACCAAGGAGCTTTTACTTTGGCAAGACTGGACGGTCTTCCCTCAGCGGTTTTGGAGGGCAGATATAATAAAGTATCATACTGTAATAGAACATGCAGATGCTCATATGATACAATGGAAACCATTGAACATATGATTATGGAGTGCCCTATATTCAATGAGTTGAGGGCTAATTTAGTCACCCCTTTACTTAAAGATGTGGAATTGCTAAATGTGCCAGCCCAGGTGTCATGGCCACTACCGGATATGAATGATCGTGTCACCCTCTCAGTGGCAATATTCATAGGCACAGTAATCAAATATAAGAGAAATAATACTGAGTAAGGACTTTTAAAATATTTTTTGGTTCTAATTTCTGCTTAAGGTGATAGTTGTATGAGCAGTACTAGGTAGATAGAACTAGGGCCAGGGCTTTTTTGGCCCTGGCCTCTGCATGATGGAATGAGCTCCCATCAGGAATTAGGGCCACGCGAGAGCTTTTGCAGTTCCTCAGGGCCTGCAAGACGGAGCTCTTCCGCCAGGTCTTCAGCTGAGACAGCAGGTATCCTTCAGTCTGGCCTCCCCTTTGCTCTTATATGTCTGTTGAGGTATAGTTTATTTTAGTGTTTTACTTATTTTATTGTATTTATTGTGTGTATTTTGTTCTGTTTTTATGATGTAAATCTGCACTCAGCAGATTATTATAGGCTGGAACCTGCCCCTGAGCCTGCTTTGTGGGGGAGAGCAGGATATAAATTGAAGGAAATATATAGGGTTGTTAAATGGCCTGCTTTTGTACCAAAAGCTGCTTGGTGTGCAAGAAATATACCTTTCAGGGTGTGGCAATCAAGATTGCAAACTAATTGCTGCAGATAAGATGGCTATTAAAGGCCCAGCTACTGAGGCCAGTTGGAAAGCTGGCCAACCGTCAAACCAGGAGGATGAGGTGTTAAGGAGGGACATTTAGATGATGCTTCGGTTCTCCCTCCTTCATTCACTTTGCTCTTTCTCCTGCAGGAGATAATTTCAGCATGTGGAGGAGATCTCAGCTCTGCCCTGCCTTGGCTGGAACTACAGACAGTCAACTTCAGCTACAACTCCATCTCGAACTTGGATGACTCACTGGTGTGTTTGGGGCAGCTGGGGTGATGGGTGAGGAGAGCCAGTTTGGCGTAGTGGTTAAGTGCGCGGACTCTAATCTGGGAGAACCGGGTTTGATTCCCCACTCCTCCACTTGCACCTGCTGATGTGACCTTGGGTCAGTCACAAGCTCTGGCACAGCTGTTCCTGAAAGAGCAGTTTGTGTCAGAGTTCTCTCAGCCCCACTCACCTCACAGGGTGTCTGTTGTGGGGAGGGGAAGGAAAAGGAGTTTGTAAGCTGCTCTGAGACTCCAAGTGAAGGGTGGGGTTTAAATCCATCCTCCTCCTCCTCTTCTTCTTCCTCTTCTTCTTCCTCCTCCTCCTCCTTCTTCTTCTTTGATTGGCACCTGGCATATAACCCTGTTTTCCTGCAACCTTGGGTTATGCTGGTATTTGATAGCCCACCTGTATCTCTGTGATTTTATGCAGGTGGCATAGGGCTTTGGCTGATTGTATGCCATAATTAATATCCTTGCCATGGGATTACTTTTTCCATGGGTTGGTTCCAGTAATAATCAGCAACTTACTTTTTTCCCCAACCAAGCAATTATTGAATGCCCTGAAGGCGTTGGATCTTAGTCACAATCTCCTCCAGGACTGTGAGCACTACTTGACAGTAAGTATCTGGCAGGAAACTCAAACCCATTAATGTTATTCTTTTGTGTTTGTTTACAAAGGACACTTAATAGTTTGTAGAAATACTGGCCTTCCTTTTCCTGGTGTTACTGACCCAGCTGCGATCTAAGAGGATCAAGCTAACAAATAAATTATATAAAAATACAAATGTTTAGTATTAATGTTTATATCCAATTGATGGGTAAAACTTTTTACCTAAGGACCATACGCGTTTTGGCCCGTTCGGGCCTTCCTCAGTGGTTAGTATTCCTTATTTTATAATGATACGCATCCAGAAATACATGCATAAAGGAATATATATAATAATCCGACCTCTTTTTCAACAATTTCAGAAAGCAACAACTGGTCATATATATATGACCCATATATATGACCAGTTGTTGCTTTCTGAAATTGTTGAAAAAAGGGCCAGATTATTATATGTCAAATGTATATAGTAAATATATGTAATAATTTTTTTTAAAAAAATCATAAGACATTTTTGCTGGGGTTACCTTATATGCTTTGCAGTTGCTGCAAATTTGTGTATTAGGCCATGGATAGTAGCTGTACAAATTCTCCAAATTATTCTACATAAAAATAGAAATATAATTATTAAAGTTTATAAATACTCTAATTCCAGAATAATTTTAGCTTAAAAATGTTCAAATTAGCCAATAAACCTGGTACCGAATGTCTCATTCGTCAGGATGCGTGTCACTTCCATCAAAGGTAGTAGTCAAGTTACAAGCTGCTAACATTACATCACTATGTAGTAGAACCCAGGGATTGCATTGCACAGTGCTATTGCCAAGGAAGGCATTACAAAGTGGGAGGGGGTGAAGAGGAGACAGAGAGAAGTAGGTGGGGGGAATCACAAGGTCAGCACTATCAAATATAAAATGGCAGTTTTCTGTGTACTTCATTTCTTGCAGCCACTATTTACCCGCACCTCTGCTTCATTGGAGACCTTTTTTAAAAAACAAAAAATGAACTGTAGCTGGTACACTGCTGTAACTTCTGTGGGGGGGGGGGTTTCATGTGAGATCCTGCCTTTTAAGGGTTGGCATAGATGCCTTCTGGTGTCTTGAGTGTATCACTCTTGTGTTTGTCTGTGTGTTTAAAATACCTATCCACCAGGAAGTGACAGCAGATTCAGTATATTCAAAGAGGCAACAAAATTAGCGGTTACATTAAATGCTTCTCAGGTGGGAAGCTGTTCTTCTGTTGGTACAGTCGTCAGTCCTTGAATGACCGCTGAAGACTGTTTCTCTGTAGCAGTGACATCACAGCACTCTGATCCTGAGTGGGCTCATGGAGTTACGCACTTGCCTGAACAAAAACATAGTTTAGATCATATGTAACACTGGCAGACTTTCTGGACGCTCTAAAGTAATAAATTTGACCTTCTGAATTCTACTGTTTTAGTTGGCCACCTACAGCTTGTATGGAAGCTCATGAGACTTCTTTTGGTGAAAGTAATTGATAGCAGTAGAGGTTGTGTGCAATGTTCCCTCTAAGCTGTGGAGTCTTGTGAGCAGAAATTCTACTTTGTGAGCTTCGGGCATTAAAGTTGTGAGCGAGCTATTTGGCTGCTGCGTAAATCAGTTTGCTCTGGAGCCATCCTTCCTGAGCTAAGACAAAAATGCATGAGCCGGAGGCTAAAAAACTGTGAGCCAGCTCACACTAACTCAGCTTAGAGGGAACACTGGTTGTGTGTATATATAAATACAAGAAAGGGGCCTATAAAGTAGTGGTAATGAGATCTGCCTCCATCTCAATGCAGGTGTTGACAGAACTGGAATATTTAAATGTCGCCTACAACTTCCTGCCCAGAATTCCTGCTCTTGGGCTCCACAGCAGGGCTCAGTTGGTGGCCCTGATCCTGCGGTACAATCAGCTTGACAGTATTAATGGTGAGACACTAATGGGATTGTGGGCTATGAGGGTGGTCTGGAAACGAGGTTGTGTGGTATCAGAACTGGGTGAGGATTGGAAACTGAGGCTGCAGTAGAACGGTTTTGTGGAAATGGTTCCTGTGACTCTTTTGACCATAGTCTGTTTCCTTTTCCATAGGTGTGGAACAGCTATCTAGTCTACAGCACCTGGATGTTGCCTATAACTTGCTGTTGGAACATGCTTTGCTGGCACCACTGTCTTTACTGCACAACTTGAAAAGAGTGAGCAATTGATTGGATTAGAGCTTTAGGGAAGGGCTGCTGGGTATGATGGGGTCCCTTTTCACCTAAACATTCTCCAGGGGCCACGGAAAGTTATCCTGATAGCACTGACACATGGACACACACTAGGCTAAGGTGTCTGCATGGCTCACAAAATAACAGTACATGTGGTGTTAGAAATGTGATGAATTTGTGTTTCTTTCACAAGACGATAACTGTCGTCAGTGCTATAAAAACATAGTAAAGGAGGCAAAACTTTCATGGTTTGTATTGCTGTTCTGTTGTTCAAATATAGTTCCTTTTTTCCCCCAGCTGCACTTGGAAGGGAATCCATTATGGTTTGATCAGAACCATCGACCAGCTACCATGTTGCATTTGTCTCCTAGGGTCATTTCCTGTGATGTGAGTATATATCGTGTATGCTGTAGTTTCACAGGTTAGACAATAGGTAGCCTATTTCCCCAACATTGTTCAACTCTATTTAAATATATGCGAAATTGAATGCTATCCCCCCCCCCCCCCAGGCACCCTGGGCATCTTGTTGCTTATTTCCAGTTATGGTTATGAGCTAACTGGCTGATAATTTCCTGGCTCCTTCCCTGTCTTGTTTTTAAGTTTGCCAGTAGATTTCCTGCTTTCCAATCTTGTGGTAAGGATGTGGATTTTTGTGACATTGCATATTACTGTCAGAAGATGAGCCGTTTTATATCTGTGTTACTTAAAAACCTGCTGGTGTATTGCTGTTTGGACTTCTTTAGTTTTTAGCATATTGATTAGCCCTAGATTTCCATTCTTGCCAGCACTAAGATTCAGCTCTTCCCCCTCCCTCCATAAAAAATACAATTCTCTGAACATCTCTGCCCAATGTACTTTGGTACGAAGACCATCCCAAAGCATTAATTCATTTTATCTGTAATTGCAAAGTGCTTTCACTCCTTTGTTGATCTGTGGCCTGCCCACTTGGTTTCCTACTTTTGATGTATTGTTTTTCTTAAGTGATTCTAACAATGTACTTCTCAGAATCTTTGCTTATGTTTTTTCTATGCTCCTCCCTTGTTCTTCTCATTTAGATAAGTTTTTGACTTCTTAAAGGAAGCCTTCTGCCTTGTAAGGCCTCCTTGACAATGTTTGTTAATCATACTAACAGCTTCTTGACCTAATCTGTGATATATATATTCTGTTTGAGCTTCAATTAAATGGATTCAAAGCATCTGTCTAGAACAATCACCTCCTCTTTTGAATTCCTTAAAAAATATATTGTGCCTGGACATTTGGGGAAACTTTCCTTTCATATACGTGCTAAATTGAATAGCTTATCATCTGTTCCCTGTCAGTCAAACAGGGTTTATCTTGCACTGATTCCTGGGTGCCGCCCAGCGTTAAAACCAAGTCCCCCTCCTGCTGGTATGTTCCATGACTGTGTTGTCCAGAAACACTGTCATTCTCTGTAGATGAGCCATTTTTTGTTACAATCTCAAAAAGCAGGGCTGTACAGTCCCAGCATACTGAAGCAACATAATTAATGCCAAGTAAGAAATAAATTTAAAAAAAAATAAGAACTAGATAAGGAACAAAATCTCCTTCCTCAGTGACTTATCTATGCATGTTTCTGAATCAAGCATAAAAGTTGGCTAAGTTGCTTTATCATTGCCTGCATGGCAGCTCTGATAGAATTCAGGGGTTTTATGTCTACATGACTGATCAGGAAAGGGGATCTTAAAAAAAACACAAACCTTTGAAACTACATACCCCAGGGTTCTTAGGCATAAGGTTTCACTAACAGCAGTCCCTCATGGCTACCTCCTCTTGTAACATTTTCAGAAGTGTTGGGGTTTGCTGTTCAAAGAACAGAAGTAAGGCAAAGTACGTGGAAGCTCTTGGGCATGTTTAAAGAAGCTTTAAACTTCTGGAGCTCAGCAGAGACCCTGAGTCAAAGGCTATAGCAGAATATACCCTTTGCCACCTCCAACACAAGGATAAGAATGAACTAAGGACTGTAATGACTGACCCCTGCACCCAGTTAGTTTCCCATTCACCTATTGCCAGGGTGCTAGGAGACTGAGAATTGTGTAGCTCCGGAACAGCCTTTCTGATGAGGCTGTTATTTGAGAGTATTGACAAACTTGCCAGTTTGGTGTGGTGGTTAGGAGCGCAGACTCTAATTTGGGAGAACCGGGTTTGATTCCCCACTCCTCCACATGCAGCTGCTGGTGTGACCTTGGGTCAGTCACAAGTGCTTTCGGAGCTGTTCTTTCATGAGCAGTCCTTGAAAGCGCTCTCTCAGCCCTGCCTACCTCCCAGAGTGTTTGTTGTGGGGAGGGGACGGGAAAGGAAATTGTAAACCGCTCTGAGACTCCCTTGGGTAGTGAAGGGCTGGGGTAGAAATCCAATCTCTTCTTCTCCATTCCAGTTCCTCCTTGATGGAGAAGTGCTGTCTACCTCTGACCTGCGGGTGAGTTGGGAAAGGATGACAACATTCAAGGGGATGGGCAGGGAGGGAGGTGTAGACCCTCGTCTCATGCTGAGTATTTCCGAGTGTACAATTGTTCCCCTTGAACAATGGCTGGCCCGTGATCACTCATTAAACTGCTTGATGCCTCCCTCCTGAAGGGGTGGCTGTGGGTACACAGCATTGTCCTACTGGCCTTTTCGTTAAAAGAGGCTTAAGAAAGAAAGGAATAGACCTTGAATGGGCAATCTTACCTCTCCTGGGTTCCCTCTTGTCTTTCAGCATCTGTCCAAACTGGATCAGGTGGTGGTTTGTCCGCCGTACACACCTGCTTCAGAGAAAGCCCTGACGGACCGTACTGCTCTGGAGAGTTCTTGTGTGGCAGACCAGAGTGATAGCCAGTCTTCTGGAGAGAGCAGAACTGCCCGGCTACCACCTCAGAAGAAAACAAAGGTTGTCCTACCACTACTCAGGATTTGTGATGGGAGAAGGGGGTGGGGCAGGGAGAGGGTCTTGTGGTGGCGGCTTCTGTGGTGTGTGTTCTCATGCTAGACGAGTAGGGTGAGACGTTGACAGTGCTGTGTAACAAAAAGGTTCCAGGAATGTGTGTGGTGTAGAGTTGAGACTCTGAGGCTGCGGTCGCACACACTAAATAATCCACTTTCAAAATACTTTCAGTCCACTTTCCAACTGGATTTTGCCAGTTCACACAGTCAAAATCCAGTTGGAAAGTGTGCACTGAAAGTGACTGCAGCCTAAAAGTAAAGTAGCTTGTGCTGCCGCCTAAAAACTGCTGCCACTGTTTAAAAGGAACAAATCCGTGACAGACCTCATTGCCTTGAGTACCTTGCAAATGTGTTGCTGTTTCTGCTGGGAAAAGGTAACTTGGACCAAAATGCCAAACACTCCTAAAAGGCTTTTTCATGAAACGATGTGAAGAAATTGATAGTAATATGGTACCATAACACTGTCATGAAAGGAGCCCCCTTTAGCTCTTTCTTACAGACTACCTTCTGCTTCAGGGGAAGGTCAAAGTGCGCAGGGCCAGCATCTCAGAGCCTAGTGATACCGACCATGAACATTCAACGCTGCCCCTCTCAGCAGGTGAGAAGTGGATCACTGTGGGACTGTTGTGTGGGTTTGGAATGTGTGTAGGATTCCTGGGCTCTGCCAGCTGCTTGAACATTTCTGGGTCTCCCCCCCCCCCGGTTGTAGTTCAACAGCACCAGGCAGAAATGGAGCGCATGGACAGTTTCCGGGATCGTTTCGGTGCACACTGGCTCCAGTACAGATGGCACCTAGAAGCTGGACAGACGGGGCCCAGCACACCCTCTGGCAGCCCCACAGCAGCCGAGGCTTCTGAGCAGATCAAGAGCACAGTGGTGGAGCAGGAGATAGTCGATGCTGCAGAAGGAATGGAACTGGAGCGGCCCCATGTCGAAGCTGCCCCGGCAGCAGTGGACACAGACTGTTTAGCATCTGTAGAAGAAAGAGATGAGGAAGAGAAACCAGAAGGTAAACTCTGTAACGCCTAGGTCTGTAATTTCTATGAGGTGTGAGGCTAGGATAGTTATTTATTTATTTATTTGATTTTTGTCCCGCCCTCCCGCCAAAGCGGCTCATGGCGGCTTACAACAATAAAACAATAAAACAACTCATCTAAAACAATCTATACAAAACATTAAAACCACAATTTACACACCCGCCGAAGCGGCTCAGGGCGGCTTACAACAATAAAACAACTCATCTAAAACAATCTATACAAAACATTAAAACCACAATTTACACACAGTATAACCTACTCAAGATGACGACCATAAAGTGCTACATACTCAATCCAGGTTGTTGAATGCTTGGCGGAATAACTCCGTCTTCACCGCCCTCCGGCACTGGTGAATATCTCAGAGGGCGCGGATCTCGTAGGGGAGGTGGTTCCATAGGGTTGGTGCTACTAAGGAGAACGCCCTGGTTCTGGTGGATGTTAATTTGGCGTCCCTGGGGCCGGGGAGGACTAATCGGTCTTGTGACTCAGATCTCAGTGCTCTCGGGGGAACATACGGGGAAAGGCGGTCCCGCAAGTAGACAGGCCCCAGACCATAAAGGGCTTTAAAGGTCATAACCAGCACCTTGAAGCGTATCCGGAACGCTATTGGCAGCCAGTGCAGCGCCCTCAGCACCGGCTGGATGTGTTCCCTCACAGAGGCACCCACCAGCAGCCTGGCTGCGGCATTCTACACCAGCTGCAGCTTCCGAAGTTGCCCCAAGGGCAGCCCCATGTAGAGAGCATTACAGTAGTCCAATCTCGAGGTGACCATCGCGTGGATCACTGACGCCAGATCCTTGCGTTCGAGGAAGGGGACCAGCTGCCTAATCAGCCGCAGATGGTAAAAGGCTGCCTTGGCAGTGGCTGCTACCTGGGCCTCCATCGTCAAGGAAGCATCCAGGAGCACTCCCAAACTCCTGACCCTCAGAGCTGGCACCAATGGCGCCCCACCAAAGGCCGGGAGTGGCCCCACTGGTTGACCTCCTGATGGCACCTGGGATTTCTGGCCACTGTCTGACACAGAGTGTTGGACGGGATGGGCCTTTGGCCTGATCCAACATTGGCATCTCTTATGTTCTTATGTTCTTAAACACAAAAAGGCCCTTCAAAAAGAACAGGATCTTATTCTTGCCTACATATTACCTTCTGAAAGGCGATCCCATTGCTTGTCTGGCCTTATTTGCCTCCTGAACAACTCCTACAGAACCAACCGTTTGGCTTGGTTCAGGAGTCCGTTAGGCTTGTTCATGCAGCAGTCAACCATGGCTTGCGAGGGGGGGGGGAGTGTGTATACACTGTACCATGCCCTTTTGTATCCTCTTATGGCTGGTTCTGTTTTACTAGATAGATTGCTGTTCACCAGTTCGACTGTTTCCAGCACTCCCTCTCCCACTGAGTGCTGTCTTGAATATTTAATGGCTGTTGAGGCCCACTGGTCTTGCACTGATCCTGCTAATCTTGATAAACCCCTCCTTAGTACACAGTGACTTGGAAGTTGAGGCTTCCTCTGGTAACATACCTTGTGTTCTGTTTATCTTCAGTGGCATTGTCTTCACATCCACCCTGACAGTTCGCTTACCCTGAGGATGAAGGTCTTATGCAGGTCCACACAGGCTGGATTTACATCTGAACTGAACTTTCAGCTAAAGCTTACGATGCCCTAACCTCAAAATTAGTGCAGGCAAAATTAGCTTCATGTTCTGGCAAGATATTTCTACTTCTTTGCAATGTTTATGCATCTCTCACAGGGTAGTCTTCATATGTGCCGCTGTTAACTATTTCTAACACAGGATGGGCTTTCAGCCTTGAAAGCTCTGTAGGTAGATTCCAAAGGGAACATTCTTCCCTCCTTTGAGTTCGTAGGATTCTGAATGCTGCAGCAAATGACTTATTATCTTTATCCATGCAGCGGAACTCTGCCAGCCAGTGCTGGTAAGCCAGATAGGTGATGGTGACCCAGACCCAGACTGGATCTTCCTGCGAGTTACGGCTCAGCATGTGACGGAAGTGGAACTGAAAGCAGCCAAAGTGGTGCACAGGCTAGAAGTACAACATTTGCAGAAAATAGAAACGTCGGAGATACTGTGGAGAAGGCTGGTGAGCTGAAGTGTCTTTTGGGGAGGAGAAAATTTCTGAGTATCTGATTATCCAGGTAGCCGCCCTACAAATGATCTCCCTTGAAGGGAAAGCCCTATAGGCTGCTGACATGGCCGCACCCCTCCGAGAGTGTGCAGTTATCCCTTGGGGTGGCTGTAACCCTTGGGCCTTGTAGGCCACTATGATACAACCCCTCAGCCACTGGCTGATGGCAGAAGTTGAGACCCTCGTGCCTAAGGACGATTTTTTAAAGGAAACAAACAGAGCGTCAGTGGTTCTAAACTGTTTAGTTCTGTCTAAGTAAAAACTAAGTGCTCTGCACACATCCAAACAATGCCGCTCCCTTTCCTTTTGATGTTTTGGGTTAGGGCAAAAGGATGGTGGCACTATGTCCTCTGATCTGTGGAATACCGAATTCACCTTAGGGATGACTGCAGGGTCCGGTCGGAGAACCACCCTGTCGGTATGGAAAACACACGAGTCTTTGTCAGTAGAGAGGGCCCGCAATTCTGACACCCGTCTACACTAATGGATTTGATGAGTGTTGCTAGGAGATATGACTAGAGTGTTTGCCAAATGGATTAATATTATATAGGTATTTCAACGCTACCCACTTTGATAAAGTTATACACGAAACGAGATATAATATGCATGGTTTGTTGGCGCTGATGGCGTTTGAATTGCTTCAGGTAAACTGAATTCTGGGAAAAGAATTTTCAAGTCTGTGCAGACTTTTTTTGGCACAATGCATCACGGTGGTTTGTTTCCTTTCTACCTCCATCCCGTGACTTCTCTCTTTGGTTTGCACTACCTGGAGGTTGGCAACCCTGCGTGTTGAGTCGCCTGTGGTGTCCGTGCCCCTGCAGAAAGATAGTCTGCATTTTATGACTGGGTTCTGTCGTAGAAGTAGCACATCTTCCGTTGGGCACACAGTATTCCATATCTTGAGAGGTTTTTGAAGGTGGGAAGAAATTGCCAGCCATTATAATGTGAAGGTGGACTAGACTTTTTCTTTGCCATGCATGATGAACTCTCCAAAGGAACAGCAGATAAGCAGGGCTTCCAACGTTTGGTGCAAAGCTTCAGTTCCTCTACAGCTGCTGAGAGCCAGTTTGGTGTAGTGGTTAAGTGGGTGGACTCTAAACTGGGAGAACCGGGTTTGATGCCCCACTCCTCCACCTGCACCTGCTGATGTGACCTTGGGTCAGTCACAGGCTCTGGCACAGCTGTCCTTGAAAAAGAGCAGTTTGTGTCAGAGCTCTCTCAGCCCCACCCACCTCACAGGGTGTCTGTTGTGGGGAGGGGAAGGGAAAGGAGTTTGTCAGCCGCTCTGAGACTCCAAGTGAAGGGCGGGGTATAAATCCAATCTCCTCCTCCTCCTCCTCCTCCTTCTCTGTGTGATTAACAGAAGAAGAATTATGCTAACTCCTGAGTCTTCATAAAAGATATAGGTCACATAACTGAAATTTTGGCAGGAAGGTTTGTAGGGAACACTTAAGGACAGTGAATGGCTGCAACTGCTGGCCCCATGGTGGGCTTCTTTAGAGTAGGCACCAGACTGCCTGTGAAGATGGTGCGGGGAAAAGAAGCTGCACATTCAGCGTGTAGGTTATTCTCACCAGAAGCCCCACTCTTCTTGACAGGACCTGGAGCGTGTGTTTCCTGTTCTCACGCTGCATTTCAACTACATCTGCAAGGATCGTCAGAAGCGTCGCTATGTAGTGTTGGATGATCATCCTGAGCTTTGTGTACAGGTGAGTGGGGGTTTGGCACTTGAGCACACTGCAATGGCAGGTGTTCGCAGGGGCCTTCACTATCCCAAGGTTAATTTGTGTAACCATAAAGTAGCTTGGCAGTCTGAGCCCTGCGGGTCTGTGTTGTCTGCTGCATTCTCCCCTCTGCCCCATCCCATCGTGCACATTCTTTGCTGCCCTTCACAGGAATTGCTGAGAGTATTGAAACCCACCGTGGAAGAAAATAGGAAGAAGGGCAGAGAGCAGGCAGAGGGCGGTTCAAAGCTCCAGTGCTTGAAATGTACACTCGAGTTTGCTGCAGACTTGCTTTGTCAGCAGAATCCAGGCCCTGCTGATGGAATGCCAGCATTTTCTGAGCAAGGTATGTGTGGTGTCAGCAAACATCTTGCACCTTGTGTGGCTTCATTTTTATTTGGACTGTAAGAGTTCGGGCAGGGCACTCCGAGATACAGGAATTGGGTTCGGAGAGGGTCTGAGGGTGCTTTTCTAGTCATGTTGTTTCATTTCTTAACCCTTGCCAGCTCTGGATCACCTTTCCACTTTTAATCTCTGCTGCCTGACTGTAAAGTGAGAGTCTTGGCCTAGTTAGTTAGGGCTACTGCAGTGCTCGAAGGCTTTAGGAAGGAAGGTAAGAATGTGGACAAGAACCCCTGCTGATGGTTTCAGTTTCTGACCACTTGAATTCCCTTTTC